GCTTGGAGTATCCCTGAAATCAGATCCCTGTCTCCCTCCCCTCAACTGTTCCCATTGGGATGCTGAGCCCGGAGACCCTGTGGGAAAGGATAGGGATCATCGCTTTCATCTGCTGAGCTCCAGGCTCTCTGCCCTGGAGGGGGTAAAAAGCAGTTAATCTCACTAGAGGAACCAGACTCATTGAGAGGGGAGGGAATTGGGAACCAGGACTGGGAAGAGGCGACCATTTGGGACCAGAGAGGGTAGAGTACTGATAAGATCCGGCCTCCATCCAGGAGCCAGCTGGAGCCAGGTGGCCTGAGTGCCCCCTGCAATGACAGCCTGAAGTGAGCAGAATTAGCCAGCTTACTCCTCAGCCCGCCTGATCCCATCTGTCCCTGTTCCACACTGCACCATTCCACACAGAAGACAGGCTGGAAAATAGGATCAGTAGCTGAAGATGGACTTTGTAGGTCCCGGGGCTCAAAAGCTGCTCACATACTAGACATATACAAGGCCTGGGACAGATACCTGCTTTCCATTTCTGCCCCCTACCCAACTTGGCACCTGGTAAAATCTGTTGAATTAAAGTAATAGAAGAGAAGGGTGCTGAAGACTTGGGTCTTCACCCCAGAGCTGAGCTACTGTATTAACAAAGGGACTTTTGCTAAAGTGACCCAGGAAAACCTACTCTGAGCTATCTGGCCAGCCAATCGCTAAGGCAAGTCTGTTGGCCAGGGTGTCCAGAGCTGGCCTGCTCCGGAGAGGCCTGAACAGGTTTCCTGGGGAACTTCCCTCTCGCTCCTGGGTGATTTCTTCAAGGCATTGTATGACACTGAGATGAATGACACCTGGCAGAGAAGCACCCGGACCTGCTCCAGTGCCCAGTGAGGAGTGAGGAGAGCCCAGACATCTGGGAGACCTCTGGAGTCGGTGGTTCAATATCCCTCACCCACCCCACCCCTAGGTTTGTGCCTGGCTTCAAAAGCAGAGACTGACTTGGCCTGTGGCCATGGACATGCTGGCTATGTGTGCTTTGTGAATGTAAGTTTTTATTTTTTTATTTTTTTGAGATGGAGTCTCGCTCTGTCACCAGGCTGGAGTACAATGGCGCGATCTCAGCTCCCTGCAACCTCCACCTCCCAGGTTCAAGCGATTCTCCTGCCTCAGCCTCCCGAGTAGCTGGGATTACAGGCGCATGCCACCACACACAGCTAATTTTTGTATTTTTAATAGAGATGGGGTTTCACCATGTTGGCCAGGATGGTCTCGATCTCTTGACCGCGTGTTTCGCTTGCCTGGGCCTCCCAAAGTGCTGGATTACAGATGTGAGCCACCGTGCCCAGCCTGTGAATGCAAGTTTTGTGTGTGAAGCCTGGAGGTGCTTGTGAGCAGGCTGGATTTGTGTGTTCATAGGTATATGAATTGCGTTGGTGCACGCATTCATGCATGTAGAAGAGTGAGCTTGCTTGTGTATAGCGGGGTATGATATGCACTGGATGCATACATTAACGTGGACAGAAGAGTGTGCTTGTGTGTGTGTTGTAGGCATGAGTGTGCACTGAATGCACACATTCACCCAAGGCACGTATACTGGGTGCGTAGCAGAGTGTGCCTGCTTGTGGGTAGTGGGATCGGGGATCTGAATAAACATCCTGCTTGGAGTACAGGCAGGGTGCTTCACTGGGTCTCTCTAAGAGTTTGGGATGGTGGGGGAAAGCTAAACCCCTCTCCTGGGACCTCACCCAGACCCACCCAAAGCTGTGGGCTGGAGAGATCAAAGTGGAAGTACTGCCTTTCTGTCCCTTCCTGACTTCTCACCTCCTCCCTCCTAGCTCTGGCTCCAGCCCCCTCACTTCACAGGTCTGCTTTGAACTCCACAGCTTGGGAACTCACCAGGGCAACAGGGCCTTTTTCTCTCCTTCCCGAGAGGCAGCCACAGCTGTGTCCCTAACAGCTGGTGGTGTTATCTGAGGGAAAGGGGAAGGGGAAGGGAGGGCAGAGACACAGGCGGGATATAACTTGGCTGCCCGGCCCACTCTTAGGAATTTCATTTCCCCTTTCTCCAGCAGTGAAACACCCCCCACCCCAGCCCTAGGCGCACACGCAGACACACACACAGAGACACATACACTCACACAGAGACACAGACACACACACACATGCACACTCACAGACACACACACACACGCAAACACAGACACATGTGTGCGTACACACACACACACACCCTACTTTAGAAGCTTATCTGACCAAAAGCAAATGGTCAGCTGCCCCCTGGTTAAAACAGAAACCCCCTCAACAACCCTCTCCACCCCCAACTCCACCATTTGGTGTTATTTCAAACTCTAAGGCCATACTGCAAACTCCCAGAACTCCCCGGTCTCTGGGGACAGCAAGAAAACTCACTCACTGGCCTAGGACCCAGGGATATGAATTCTAATCCCATCCTGGCTACTAATTCATTCACTCAGAAAATATTGAGCAACTATTATGTGCCAGACTATTCGAGGTGCTGGGCATACAGTGTGAGCAATTCAAGGTATGTCCTTGGTTGCCTGCACTTTCATTCTAGACGTGGAACAGAGACAACACGATGAAAGTTAAATAAATGCAGAGAAGTCGGGTAATGATAAGCACTACAAAGGAAGATAAACTGGACAACGATGCAGAGAATAAATGGAAACTGACAATCTGAATAATCTGAATGGCCACTGGGTTTCCGTGACTTAGAGCAGGAAAGACGCCTAAAATGTTATTAGCCCATCGATTCCCAAGCTGACATCAGAGGCCCTCGACGACAGAAATGGAGAGAGGCAGTCACTTGGGCCAGTATCAGCCCAAGTAAAATGCTGTGGAAACGGTTCATTCTCCTCACCCTCTTCAAATGTCAAGCACCAGCACCACGAGCTTGGACTTTACCAAGTCAGCGTGGGGACCCCGGCTACTCCATGCTGCTCAGCATGCCTTTGATGAATAAAAACTGAGCAGATGAATTCATTACGATTTTGTAAACAAGGTGGGTTAGATCAACAGACTCCTTCCTTAAAAGGGACTCACTGTGGGGAGAACAGGGAAGCAAGCAAGACGGCCTTTGATGCTGAAAGGTTGTGGCTGCGATCTCCTCCACGCACTTGACCTTGCGGATGAGGAGAGCGAGGGAGGGAGAGCAAAAGCGTTTTGTCCAGGTGTCCCTATGCCACTCCATCTTCTCCTCCCATCCCCAAGGTTGAGTGCAAAGGAAGCCTTTGTTTGGCTGAGAGGGGGACTTGGGCAGGAGACAGTGAGGACAGGAAGCACAGCAGAGGCAGGAAGGAGGCCAGGAAGAGGCTGACAGGACCAGGCTGGCTCACACTCAGCCCTGCCAGCCTTCAGGAGAGCAACGTGGTGTTTCTAAAAATATTGACAGTGAGTCTACATTAATGAGATATGTATCAGCACTGACAATGGGAGGATGCAGGGCCAGGCCCTCCAGGGGAGAAGACCAACGCAATCAGCCCAGAAGCTGCACAAAGGCAAGGGGAGCTTGGGGAAGGCCAGCCTTGCACAGCCAAAGGAGGAGATCAAGCCTTCCACCCTGGGGCTCGAACAAGCACCGGAGGCCACAATGCCCCATAAAGTGGCCCCATAAACCTCCCCAGGACGGAAAACATCCCACATCCCTGGAACTGCCGTGAGCATCTTTAACCTGCATCCAGATCCCAATGCAGTGCAGAAATCTCTACTGCACCCACTCTGAGGACCATCCAGGGATCTTGAATACCTCTGTTGACCAGACACTGACTCCTGCCCCCAGCAGCCCATTTCCATTCCAGTCCTGGCATTCCTGCTCATTCAACCTTCAGGAGAGAAGAGCGCTTCAGAACAAAGAGGCTGGAGTCGGGTCGCCACTTACAAGTCACTTTGCCGTGGAGCGCCAAGGAGTATGACCATTTCAAGCCTCAGTTTTCTCATCTGTAAAATAGGGAGTCATTAGAGTCTCTGCGGCCCCAGGGTTGGTGGAAGGACTCAGTGAGGTAAAGGAGACAGGTTGCAGAGAATGCCATGCGGGCCAAAGTGCAAAGATGCAAAAGAAAGAATATGACATGTCCTAGGACGAACGTGAGATAAGGTTAAGAAAATTAGCAAATGCCATTTTGCGGCTGATACAGGGCTGCTGCAGAGCTAACCTTGAGCTGTGCAGTGGGCGAGGCACTCGCCACATGACGCTGTGAAGCGCTGGAGATGTGGCCAGGTGGATGGTGAGGCACTGCAGGTGTAGAACCCATACTGGGTTTCAAAGACTTAATACAAAAAAAGAGGGCCGGGCCCAGTGGCTCACGCCTGTAATCCCAGCACTTTGGGAGGCCGAGGCGGGTGGATCGCAAGGTCAGGAGATCGAGACCATCCTGGCTAACACAGTGGAACCCCCATCTCTACTAAAAATATAAAAATTAGCCGGGCGTGGTGGCACGCGCCTGTAGTCCCAGCTACTCAGGAAGCTGAGGCAGGAGAATTGCTTGAATCCAGGAGGTGAAGGTTGCAGTGAGCCGAGATCGTGCCATTGCACTCCAGCATGGGCAACAAAGCAAGACCCTGTCTCAAAAAAAAAAGAAAAGAAAAGAAAAAAGAATGTAATATATCGCATTAGTAATATTTTCTATTGATTCCATGTCGAAATGATAACATTTTGAATATATCAAAGTAAATATACTGTTAAAATGAAGTTTACTTCTTTGGTTTCCTTTACTTTTTTTCTGAAATGGAGTCTTGCGCTGTCGCCCAGGCTGGAGCGCAATTTCAGGTCACTGCAACCTCCCCTCTCGGGTTCAAGCGATTCTCCTGCCTCAGCCTCCAGAGTGGCTAGGATTACAGATATGCGCCACCATGCCCGGCTCATCTTTGTATTTTTGGTAGAGACAGGGTTCTGCCATATTGACAAAATTTCTGGATTTCTGGTCTCGAAATCCTGATCTCAAGTGATCCACCCACATCGGCCTCCCAAAATACTGAGTTTACAGGAGTGAGCCTCTGAGCCCAGCCTCCTTTATTTTTTCAGTGTGTCTACTAAGAAAATTTAAATCACATATGCAGCTTCTGTTATATTCCTGCTGGCTCACGCTGAGCTGAAGGATCACATCTAAGCCTTAGGATGCTCACTCTGGAGGCATCTTTGAGGATGGGTTAGGATGGGTAGGTTCATTAGGAAACAGGTACAGTTTTTCATATCAAAGGCCCATATTAAGGAGAGGACTCCAATTCCAATTTTCCTATCACAGGTAGTTTGTCACAAAGTAGAATCAGAGAGATGTGATTTCCCTCCTCTCGTAGTAATAGGTAGCGTGTTACATCCTATTAGGTAAAGGGTATTACCAGGCACTGCAAAAGCACACTTAGATGCTTTTCCCCAATGTAAGTTTCAATGCCATCACTTACATGATGATCTCTATCTTACAGATTGGTACACTGAGGTTCAGAGAGTTACTTCACTGGCTCAGGGCCATGTGGCTTCTTAGTAATAGAGGACTTGAAACTTTGGCTTTGACTCTAGAAGCCTGAGAGTCTACAGTCAGGATGTGTTTTCCCAGCATGAGGCCTTGCTTCTGCATTCAGACATGACCTACTGTTGCTTCAGAGAAGGGGGGCGGCAGAGACATCTCGTAAATGGAACCCATCTCTCTCAAGGACAGTGAGATTGAGTGGAGAAAAATTCACATAGGTTCACAGCTGTGATGATAAAAAGATAATTAGTAAAACTATCATAATTTGTAATTACTCATGACCCTTAGACATAAAGATCAAGCCACAAATAACTCTGTAATAACAGCAATAACAATAGTAGTTAATAATACTAGTAACTATTTACAAGAGCAATGACTTGGAACCAACCCGAATGCCCATCAATGATAGACTGGATAAAGAAAACATGGCACATATACACCATGGAATACTACGCAGCCATAAAAAAGGATGAGTTCATGTCCTTTGCAGGGACATGGATGAAGCTGGAAACCACCATTCTCAGCAAACTAATACAGGAACAGAAAATCAAACACTGCCTGTTCTCACTCATAAGTGGTAGCTGAACAATGAGGACACATGGACACAGGGAGGGGAACATCACACACTGGGGCCTGGTGGGGGATGAGGGACTAGGGAAGGGAGAGCATTAGGACAAATACCTAATGCATGCAGTACTTAAAACCTTGACGATGGGTTGATGGGTGCAGCAAACCACCATGACACATGTATACCTATGTAACAAACCTGCATATTCTGCACACGTATCCCAGAATTTAAAGTAAAATAAAAATAAAATAACAATAATAACAGTAGTAATGGCTTTTATTTATTAAGCGCTTATACCACTTCAGCAGGCACTGTTTTGGTAAAGGACCACAATTTCAAAAGTAAACTCTGGAAGCAAAAACGCCTGGTTTCAAATCCTGGTTTTGCTAGTATATGAAGCCTCAGTTTCATCAACTATAAAATGAGGGTACCCATATACTGCATTGTCAGAATTATGAGATACTAGGCTCAGATACCAGACTTAGGTTCGTGTCTGGCACAGGGCGAATCCTTGGTTAACACTGCCGATTACAATCATCTCATTTAATCCCAACAATAACCCAATGCGTAGAGAGGATCAATAGTGATAAATGGGAGTGATAATATCCCCAGTTCACAGATGCAGAAACTGAGATGCGAAACAATAAGAAACTTGTCAAAGTCCTTCCATTTCTCAGGATTGTAGATGGGATTCAGATCTAGGCGGGCTGGTTTGAGGATCTGTAGACAGTTCCTCATCTTAAACAGTTTGTAACGTCATATTTTTTCTTGTTTTTTTTTTTAAGACGGAGTCTCGCTCTGTCACACAGGCTGGAGGCTGGAGTGCAGTGGCGCCATCAATCTGGGCTCACTGCAAACTCCACCTCCCTGACTGAAGCAATTTCCCTGCTTCAGCCTCCGAGTAAGCTGGGATTCGAGGCGCACGCCACCATGCTCAGCTAATTTTTTGGATTTTTAACAGAGATGGGGTTTCACCATGTTGGCCAGACTGGTCTCAAACTCCTGATGTCAGGAAGTCCATCCACTTCAGCCTCCCGAAGTACTGGGATTATAGGCATGAGCCACCATGCACGGCACTTTTTTCTTATTCTTTTTTAATGATACTTACCACATTAGTTCCTTGAAGTGTAGAACGTGACCGCCCGCCTGCCCAAGGCTTTGACAGAAGCCAGTGGGATAGTCCACAGCTCGGTGTGAGCACAGAGAGGTAGCTGCCCCGATGCTGCAGGGCTCAGCTGATGAATGACCCATCAGTTTCTGGGTCCCGTGGGTCCACGGGTATCCAGCCGCAATCTACGCTTGCCAAGAAGGCACAACACTAGCACTACAGCATCTCCCACTCTTAGGACTGCCCGAGGCCTGAGGGTGGTTGGGGAGGAGGAAAGAACTGGACATGGTTGAGCCCGCTCAAGCACGGAGCTGCCTCCTGAGCCTGGCTGTGTGGCTGCCGTGCCTCGGACGTCTCTGTAATGCTGACCTCTGGTGGAGATGGGCTGCTCCTCAGCCTTGAACTCCCCCTGAGCTCCAGGAGTCCCAGCGCTGGCTTCCAGCCCTGCCACCGGGAGGCAGACCCTGCAGACTGAGACCCCAGAGGGCCCACCTAAGCCCAACCTTTCTCCTTCTTCTAGAGCCCTGTGGCATCCGGAATTGTCTACCCCAGAACCTTAGGGCTCAGGGGCTAGAAGAACCCTTAGCAAAAGGAACTTACCCCGCTGATGGTTCTGACGCTGAACACGCCCTAGAACCCAGCACCGGTCCCATCTCCTTGGAGAATTAGGGCCTTGGCCTCCCCACCTACTTCAGTGTTTTGAGCTACGCATGGTCTTCTGAAATGCGGTTACACTGCACTGTAATAATACAATGTCATATTATGACACTGAGATAGAAAAGGAAATGTTCTTGTCTTATTATTTTCTCTTTGGGTGGTGCAGGAGTAAAACCAAGAGACGTTGAATCATCCTCAATATTATTCATCACTCTTCTCAAGCGTGTCACTCTGTAAAGATAACAAATGAAAGAGAAAATGTTACCCTGTTTTATTAAGGAAAACTATGGACTAGGAAAAAAAAAAACTGCCTTTTTTTTTTTTTTCTTTAAATAAGCTGACATTGATAAGAAAAAGTTGAGTCAAGTCCCCAGAGGCAGGAATCTCATTGCTGAGCACCTGGCGCCACCTTGTGGTTACTCTCAGGACAGCGAGCCCAGCTTCCACTCATCACCCACCACTAAAGACATTTATTGAGCATTTCTTAGGTGCCCTTTCACCTGTTTCTTTGCTGAGCCCCTTATCTGAATCTTTTATCTCAATGAACTTTGCACTGAACTCTCTTTTGGTACACTCACTAATTTTAGCACGGGGAAAAGGGTGGCTATACAGTTGAGCTGGCCCAAGTCAGAAGGTGTCTATGGAGATATTCTTTATCCATGAGCACTCCCAGTTATTCCAGTGTCAGCCCCGAGACCCTAAAGGTCACCCACAGACTTAACTAGTGAGATCTGTTAAATTATGTGTGTATATTTTCCCTTCCCTCTTTCTGGAAATACATTTTCCTGTTTCTCAGGCAGCAACCATTCTGGTAAGACAGGAGAACTTCAGCACACACAGGTTGGAATAGACATAGCTAATTAGCGGAGCGGACACAGTAATCAGTGACCGAGCCAGATCTGGGGCTTCAGGGCTCTGTGAATCACTCAAAAAATGTCCACTGAGTCCTTCCTCTCTAGGGGACCCTATGCTAAGCTCCATGGTAAATCAAATCCACGCCCAGGACTCTGCCCTGGAAAGACAGAGCCTTGTTAGGGAGAGAGGCATCTACTAAAGAATGAGGTAAAACAGTAGAGCTGTAACTGTGCAAAGTGTTACAAGGAGACTTATGTCCACAGACGGGATTTTTAGAGTCTGACTTTCAGAGACTTTAAATGACTGAAAAAAAAATCATGGCCCCCTCCATAATCTATTTTAAATGAAAACACGATTTAAAGATAAGTGTAAGGAAACCCCCAAAAGGCTTACTTTTCCCACAATGTCGTCTTTGAAACTATTTTATGCTAAAAGGAATCAAATAGCATGTGATGAAAAATCGGGAGTGACCCCATTTCTCTAATGCCTGAAATAGCTGTTTAGCCAGCCTGTTGGAGAATCCAAGAACAGATACACATATAATAGGTCACAAAAATTTGGGAAGATGCTCCTAAGAAAATGGTAACAGTGCTGAGAGCTACAGGATAAGAAGGCAGAAAGGTGAAAAGCGTGACAAACAATTGCAGCAAGCACTGGGCAGAGCGCGTACGATGGTCCTGCGGAGCCTGGGGGCTTGAGACAACAGAGGCTGAAAGAAGACAGCAGAGGCCGGAAGAAGACAGCAGGGGCCGAAAGAAGACAGCAGAGGCCGAAAGAAGACAGCAGGGGCCGGAAGAAGGCAGCAGGGGCCGGAAGAAGGCAGCAGAGGCCGGAAGAAGGCAGCAGGGGCCGGAAGAAGGCAGCAGGGGCCGGA